CTCAGTGGTTAAGAGCACTGACTGTTCTTCCAGAGGTCCTGAGTTCAATTCCCGGGAACCACATGGTGGCTCACAACCATCTATAATGAGATCTGGTGCCCTCCGCCGGAATGCAGGCAGAAGACTGTGTACACAACAAATAAATAAAATATTGAAAAAAAAAAAAGAAAGCAGGCTAAGAGACAGACAGTAGTGGCACACACCTTTAATCCCAGCACTGGGGAGGCAGAGGCAGGTAGGTCTTTGTGAGTTCGAGGTCAACCTGTTCTACAGAGCTAGTTCCAGGTCAGCTAGGGCTGTTACACAGAGAAACCCTGTGTCAACCCCCCCCCCCACTCTCCAAAAAAGAAAGAAAGCAGCTTTGAAAGCCATGGGGAGCAAGCAAGTCAGCAGCATCCTCCACGGCCTCTGCATCAGCTCCTGCCTCCAGGATCCTGTCCTCACTGCTGTCAATGATGAGCTGTTATATATTAGTGAGTGACTAAACCCTTTCCTCACTAGATTGCTTTGGTCATGGTTACATGGTCATGACAATAGGACAGTAACTAAGACAACTCCCTGAATCCTCCTGCCTCAATTTCCCAAGGGTAGGCATGAGCCACGAAACCTGGCTGTTTGTTCCTTTATTCTAAATCTTGGAAAAAACAAAACAAACAAACAAACAAACAAAAAACACTGGCCTTTTTTTGGCAGTACTGGCACTTAAACCTAGGACCATGCACATGCTGGCAAGTAGTCTACCAGGGAACTTCCCCCCCTGTCCCTAAGTCATGTTCTTAGACCTCTCCAAGGGCTGGGGAGATGATCAACTGGGTCAATAAAGCACTTGCTTTGAAAGCATGAGAGCCTGAGCTGAGATACTGAGCACTCTCATAAAAAAGTTGACTCAACAGAACAGGGGTGGGGGAGGCAGTTTCAGAAGGATCCCTGAGTGGTTCAGCCCAGACAAACCAATGAGCTCCAGGTTCAGTGAGAAACTGTGTCTCAGAAAATAAGGTGGAGGTGACAGGAGATGCCAGGTGTCAACCCTCCCCCCCACCCCGCCTTCATATGCGTGCACATATCACACACACATACATACAAACACACATGCACACACATGCTCGTATAACACTCGAATGCACACACACACACACACACACACACACACACACACACACACACACACACACAGCATTCTCAGCTTGGCATGGCCAGTCACTTACACCTGTCATCAGCATGGTGGGAGCCTGAAGATCACTGGAAGTTGGAGGCTAGCCTGCGCTACAGAGTCAGTTTCAGGGTAGCCTACACAACTGTGAGAGACCCTGTCTCAAAAACAACAAACAAACAAACAAAAAGCTACCATTTAAGAGCAGCACTAGCTGCTCTTACAGAAAACCCAGGTTTGATTCCCAGCCCCCACACAGCAGCACACAAGCCTCTGAACTCCAGGCCCAGAGGCGCTGACACCCTCTCTCCTCTCTGCAGGCAACAAGAGGATGATTAGCACAGAAATGCATGTAGAGTAAAACCCATATATAACAATAAATGAAATTAGAAAAAAAAAACCTGCCATTCCAGGTTGACTGTTGGCCTGTTAAAGACACCTCCATTAAAAAGTTTATCTGGAGCCGGGCGTTGGTGGCACACGCCTTTAATCCCAGCACTCGGGAGGCAGAGGCAGGCGGATCTCTGTGAGTTCGAGGCCAGCCTGGTCTACAGAGTGAGTTCCAGGACAGCCTCCAAAGCCACAGAGAAACCTTGTCTCGAAAAACCAAAAAAAAAAAAAAAAGTTTATCTGGGGATGCAGGCAGTGGTGGCACACGCCTTTAATCCTAGCACTCGGGAGGCAGAGGCAGGTGGATCTCTGTGAGTTTGAAACCAGCCTGATCTACAAGACCTAGTTCCAGGACAGCCTCCAAAGACCCTCTCTCGAAAAACCAAAAAAAAAAAAAAAAACAAGTCTATCTGGGCACAGTGATGGAGGAAGACAGCCATGCTCTGCTGTGGCCTCCACATCTGTGAGCATTTGGACCTGTACTCTCAGGTGAATATAAGACACACACACACACACACACACACACACACACACACACACACGCACACGTGCGCACACACACACACATACATACATAAAGTCGCCCCCTTTGAAAACAAAAACAGAGTTTTGCCACATTTCCATTTTATTTCTAGGCACTTACCTCAGATCTGTTGGTGGCACTGTCTTAGCCAGTAAGATTCATGCATGCCTGCCCCATACATGATGGTTTGCAAAGCAGTCTTGTATCATTCCTCATCTGAACAATGTGACAACTAGATAAGAGCACTATTGTCCCATTTCACAGGAGATAAGAGTGCCCAGGGCTTGAATGCACAGGGTCAATGCCACCCAGCCAGTGAGGAGCAGAACACGGATGTCAGTGCACTGGCAGCCTAGAAAACAAGCCAGAAACTTCCTCCAAACACTGCACCCTTTCCTGCAATTTATGATTAGTTAACCCATGCAAAGGCACTTAGGCCTGGTCTTGGCACCTGTTAGGTTTCATATAAATGCTAATACAAGCATCATCTTCATCAGCTCCTCCTGGGAAAAGTGTCTTGGCCAATGATGGCAGCCTGACCATGGATGATGGGAAGGTTAGCCTTTCCATCCAGTCCTCCCTGGTAATGTTGAAACACCGATCACTCTCTGAGATCCCTGGGAGCCATAGAGTGTTGAGTTGGGAGGGATAGTGAAGATGACCTCATCCTGGGCCCAAGTTTACAGATAAAGAAACTGGGTCCCTGACAGGGTTAAGGTCAGAATGCAAACCCACCCACGCCAACCAGGGCAATGCAGAGGCATGCTGCCTGGCCCAGATGACTCCTGCAAAGTCAGTTTTCTTGACTAAAGCAGCAGCTAGCCTCTAAAAGTTTACGGAGAATAGCAACATATTCACTCTCTAGCCACGGCCCCAGGCCGCCTCCAAACCAGTAAAGCATTATAAGCCATTAACCAGAAAAGAGAACATGTGACAGAATTCCACCTCGGCTAAAGGGCTTAAAATGCTTGGGTGAGTAGCCAGAGATTCATAAACATGCACTTCAGCTCTTTCTCAAAAAATCATTAACCAGCCCCGTCAAGACTGCAGCTCGAGCAGCCAAAGAGCAAGAGCGGGTAGAGACAGTTCTTGAAGAAATTTTACCTGCCTGTGTGTGTGACCTAGTGCTACCTCTGGGTTTCACGTCCCCTCCCCCTCCTCTAAGACTCGGAAGAAGATCATCATGTGGAATGTTCATTTAAAAGTAATTGTGGAAATTTACAAAGTGCTTCCCTCACACAAAGTAGATTTCTAAAGAACTGAGCAGTGTTGGAGTTTTGGTTTGTGCAGGTGCTCTCGTGGGTGCCTAAGGGTGTGCGTGCCTGCAGAGGTCACAGGACAGCTTCAGGTGTCCTTCCTTAAGCGCTGTCCAGTGTTTGTTTTCTTTTCTTTTTTTCTCTGGAACTTGTCAAATAGGGTAGGCTGCTGACCAGTGAGCAAGATGCAGAGATCCTCCTGCCTCTGCCCCTCAAGTGCTGGGATTGCTAGCGTGTACCTCCATGGCCTGATTTTTTTTTTTTTCCCCACCTGAGTTCCGGGGATGGAATGTAGTTCCCTGTGCTTCCACAAGCACTTGACTGAACCATCATCAGACTGTTTTTTGGTTGTGTGTGTATATTTACATTCATCCTGTGCGTGTGTATGTCTGGGGTGTCCATGCCACAGCCTCTGTGTGGAGGTCAGAGGACAACCTGTGGGAGTCTGTTTCTGTGGGCTCTGGGGATAGAGCTCAGGCTGTCAGACATTGTGCTGTCAGATCTTGCTGGCTGGCCTGGAACTTGTTATGTGGACCAGGCTGGCGTGGAACACAAGACATTCACCTGCTTCAGCCTGCTAGATGCTGGGAGGAAAGGCATACACTACCATACCGGTTATTATTTAACTTTTTTGTTGTTGTTTTTTGAGACAGGGTTTCTCTGTGTAACAGCCCTGGCTGTCCTGGAACTCACTCTGTAGACCAGGCTGGCCTCAAACTCACAGAGATCCACCTGCCTCTGCCTCCCAAGTGCTGGGATTCCGCATGTTGACCCACCAAGCCAGGCTGTTTATAACATAAAAGGGAGACCATCTGGAAGAGGATGAAGTGAAATTCTATCGCCTGAGCGGTCTGTCTCAGGGCTGGGATGGCCGGGTGTGGGTGTGGAGCTCTGGTGACCCACGCCAGACTCATGATCTCAGGACTCTGTAATTTATGGAGCCGGGTTGGTCACTCTACTTATCTCTCGACCCACTGAGTACTAATTCTCGAAGCTTCTCATGCCCCGTGTCAGCCTGGATCAGCTCTGGCTTGAGGATTTGGGGGCAGGGAGAAGAGAGAGGTTAGGATCAGTCTGTAAACTGGAGAGGCAGGGGTTAAGACCTAATCCACAGTTTCTCTTGTCTTCAGGCTTCTTAAGCAAAACTGACAAGGTTCCCCTCCCCCACAACACCTTTATCAAACTCAAACTATTTTCTACATTCCTCCCTTACACAGCCCTGGCTCACAGCAGATCTGCCTGAGAGATCCAGGAAGCTCTGGCCTAGCCCTCCCTTCTAGAAAGGAAAGTCCAGGTAGAGAGGGATGCCACACCCGGGGGGATGGGAGGACGGATGTGACGACAGCCCCAGGAATGCAGGGCCCACGCAGGTGCGTTGGCACCATGAGCTTCCTCCTTAGAGCCGCTGATAAAGCAATCCCGATAGCAGTAATAGCAGCCACCCAGCCGTCATTCACACGGAGCTGGGGCCACACGATTCTCAAGGCGTGTCCCTGCTCAGGGCAGAAGCAGGAGAGCCGAGATTGGAGGTCCACAGAGGTGGAAATGCTTCCTAGCGAGCGGATTTCCCAAAGTCACATTGTTCGTTCTCATGATTCTAAGGTGTTAAGTCTCACCTTCCTGGTCTAGGGAGCAAATGATGAAGTTTTCCAGAAGGGACATGACAAATAATGACATCACCTTTGATTGCTTGAAATGTTATATTGTATATTGTTTTAAAGCGGTTTCACTTTTAATTCCGGTACAATAAATACGCATAGACAGACACTAACTTTGAGGTTCCTCACAATGTTTAGTTAGTTAAAGGCGTCTTGAGACCCAAATAGCCGCAGTTGCCGGGCTGATGCAGGTAGCAGGATTCCAGGCCTGTGGCCGCCCCTCATAACCAGGTTTCTTATTCCCACCAGAGCTCCAATCACACAGGTATTGGTGGGGAATGCAGTCTCGTGATTCAGCCTGGGAAGGTCCCTCTCTGTCCAGTGCTTCTACCCCCAAAGGGCCAGGGATACGTTAGAGTCACCTGCCAACATCTGGTGGGCCGCTTCGTTCATGGGAAAAGGGCTTCTCATCTTTGAAGTATAGAGTGTAGCATGGAGAAGCCACACTTGGCCTCTGTCCCCAAAGACATACCTGAGAACACACCAGGAGAATGGCAGTGTGAACATGTTTTGGTTGAGCAAGGCTGGGGTATCCCCACCTTTGGAAGCTGTCATTGTACGTAGAGGAACATCACTCAACTCACACGCACTAGGAGAATAGAAGGCTGGGCCCCATCACAGGGGACAAGGGAAGGCGCAGGTGTTAGGCTCAGCGCTAAGAGGGAGCGTGTGGACAGGGGTGAAGCCCTGATGAACTTCTCAGCTCCCAGCTCCTAGCCTCAGCAGGGCCAACAGGTAAACAAAACAAGAAAGAGGCAGGAGCCCCAGTGCGGGGCGCTCAGAGAGTAGGATTTGGTGTTGTGTTTCCACGGGACACAGCTCGGTCGCTGAGGGAACAGAACACAACCCAGAGGCTGGCGTTGGTACAAACAGCAAACCGCCAAGAAATGGCTCCGTGGAGAGAAGACATCGCCCCGAGGGCGGATGCTGAGGCTCGCAGGCCTGCAGGGATCCTCGCAGGCCTCAGCTCTCTGGTCCCCTCCGGTGCCTAGGGCACCCTGGGGACAGGAAAGATCAAGCACAATGATTCTCAACCTTCCTGACACTGCGACCCTTTAATACAGTTCCTCGTGTCGCGGGGAACCCAAACCATAAAATTACTTCGTTGTTAATCCGTAATAATCTTGCTACTCTCATGAATCTAAATCTGTTTTCTGGTGGTACCCTGTGAAAGGGTCGTCACTCCCAAAGGGGTCGTGATCTAGATGAGGGCTCAAGCCTTCTCGGACGAAACCAGGCCAAGAGCCCCGAGCCTCTCCCCTAGTGACCGCCGCAGAGGCGGGAAAACTTGAATCTTGCGACCAAGACTTGCAGTGGGTGCCTAGAAGCCGCAGCACGGCAGCTGAGGCCGCAGAGGGACACAGGAGCCCAGCCGCTTCAGATCATCGCGGCAACGGATCCGGCCGCACACCCCAAACCAGGACACCAGGGAGCTCCGGACCGAACCAGCGGTCCGGAACGCTCCCGCGCATGCGCAAGAAACACACCCTCCCGAGCCGCTGTCCAGGTGCGCTCGCGCTTCCGGCCTGCCTTCCCCGATTGCCTTCTCGGGGCGGAAACTCCGCGGCCGGCGCATGCGTGCTACTGCTCCCTTGCTCGCTACAGAGAGGCCCCACAGCTTCAGGTGATCCCGCCCCTCCCTCGCAACGCAGGGCCAATCGCGAGGCCGTGGGCGGGGATTTCGGGCCTCGAGGCCCGCCCACGCGCCGCGCGAGCCTCGCAGGCCGCGTGCCGATTGGCTGGCGCCGCGGGCGCAGGTGCGCGCTTCCTATTGGGCGTGGGCGGAGCGCGAGCCGCCGAGGCTGCTCGGAGGCTGCAGGTGAGCGCGCGCACGCGCCGCGGCTGCAGCCGTGCTTGCGTGCACGAGCGCCGGGCCGCGCGCGCGCGCGCGAGCCCGCGGGGGAGGCAGCGGAGAAGCCGGGCTGCGGCGGCTGTGGGACGGCGCTCCGCCCTCTCCTCACGGCGGCCGCCGCCGCCCCCGAACCTCTCTGGGAGGGACCCGTGTCCCCGCCTGCCGCGTTGCCAGTCCGACCCTCGGGCCGCCGCGGAGCACCCGGCACTGCGCCGCGCAGACCTCGGCAGGTGCGGTGACGAGGCGCCGTGCGGCGCTCCGACTCCCGAGCCCGCGCCCCGCGGCCCCGCTGCCCGCGCTCCCGAGGGCCGGCCCCCGACGAGGCGGCCGCCGGCCCGGCGCTCAGCATGAACCGCGGCCACCGGCACGGGGTGAGCAGCGGCTGCCTGGGCACCATGGAGGTGAAGAGCAAGGTGCGCGGCCGGGCGGGGCGGCGGGGACGCGGGGTGGCGGGAGGGTGGACCCGGGCTGCCCTGGTGCGGACGCGGGCGGAGGGCGAGCTGCTGGACGGAGCACGCAGAAGACAAACTTGGTGGAGAGCGGCGGCGGGGAGCGCCTGGCGTCTGTTCCGCATCACAGCCCCTGTTTTCCATCCTTCGTATTCCCGCTCGAATGCTAGGTGATGCGATAGCTTAGGGGAAGCCCTTCTTCCCGGGAATGAGTCAAAGGCTTTCGGAGTACCTTGTTGTCGCCTTATGTCACCCTTTCTTGGGGTTCAGGGGCACATAGGATGGAGACGAGCCTCTTTTTCCAGCTCTAACTTTGGTATGCGTCTAATCTCTGAAATTAGCACTATCGCCTTACTCTGGAGTAGCGCTTGACAGTTTGAGACGCTGTCGCTCTTTTTATTCCGACCCTTCACGTCGAGTGCTTTCCCCCTCGGCGGGAGTGCCAGTCTGCTGATAGTGTCCGAGGAATTCCTCAGTCTCAAGGCCCGGTGAGCAGAGTAGCCTGTGGGGATTAGCTAGGGAATGCGTTCTTCCCAAGGGGGCTTTTCAGATGGAATTTGAAGGTGATCTGCAGCCACCGGAACATGTCGGCAAGCTTCCCCTGACTTTGAAAGGCTAGAAGGAGCTGGGATAAAGCAGCCTGGTTCTCTGAGCATTCTGAGATAACAAGGTGAACAGCTTCTAAAGGGTGTGACTTCCTAGCTCCGCTCTAGGACCAAGTCTTGCAGAACAGTGGTCAGCGGGCATTACTGACCCTGAGAATTTAGGACAGAATTGAGGTTAGATACACCGGAGCCGTGCACACCCCACCCATGGGGCGATGGTTAAGGGACCCCTGGGGGAATGTCGATCCCAGGAGTGGTTTGAGTGAAGTGAGGAAAGCTGTCGGAGCCTTTGGGTGAGGTGTGGGGATGTCTGGGCTTGAGAGCAATGTTCTGTTTACTAAGAATCGCAAATCTACATTTGCTTTTAATATCTCTTTTTTTGAAATCTCCTTTGACTTAGACTAATCTGGAACTCACCAGGTAGGCAGACGAGTGAAGCTGGAAGAGTTCCAGGCCAGTCTGGCCTATACGGTGAGATCCAGTCTTAATAAAGAGGACGGAGGGACTTATATACCAGAATAGGCACTAGATTGAAACACAGGTCTGTGTAATAATAATAGGGCTGTTGGTGCTGGGAAGATAGCACCGAGTGTGCACTGCTCTTGCAGGGGTCCCAGGTCCGGTTCTCACCCCTGTCAAGCAAAAGGCACCTGTAAATTTGTTTTTAGTTTTTAAAGTAATTATTTATTTAATTTTTATGTGTGTTGGTATTTGGCCTGTGTGCATGTCTGTGTGAGGGAGTCAGATCCACTGGAACTTGAGTTACAGACAGTTGTGAGCTGCCATGTGGGTACCGAGAATTGAACCCAGGTCCTTTGGAAAGAGCAGCCAGTACTCTTAACCACTGAGCCATCTCTCCAGCCCAGAACCTGTAAATTTTCAAAAACTTACTATTTTATGTACATAAGTGTATGTCTGTCTGTTTACTACCTGCATGCCAGATGCTCCAGGAAGTCAGAGGAGTTTTAACCACCATGTTGTGGGTGCTGGGAACCAAACTCAGAACCTTAGGAAGAACAGCCATGGTTTTAACCACAGAGCCTTCTCTCCTTAGGTCTGGGAGATCTGATATTCTGGCTTCCCAGGGCACCTGTGCATGGCATACACACACAGAGACCACATGCACACATAATTTTTTAAAGATTTTTTGTTGTCTTAGACTAAAACTGAACCTGGTATGGTGGTGCACGCCTGTAGTCCCAGCACTTGGGAGGCAGACGAAGGTGGTTCTCTTGAGTTCAAGGCCAGCTTAGTATAGAAAAAGAATAAATCCTATGGCAGTTTGAGGAGTAGTCTCGTGGGCTGGGATCTCCATGGACTAATAGCAAACTGAGGTGACTTGTTTGAATGGGGGGACAGCGACCCCAGAAATGTTCATCTTTGCTCTGGCTGTGTTGTGGCTGGCTAGCTGTTTCAGGCCTAGCACAAGCACTTTCTCCTGGCTCTTTTTTTTTTTTTTTTTTTTTGTAGTTTTGCTTGTGGGACTTGAGGTCAGAAAAGAAAACCATTTGTGATGTTGCATAATGCTAACACTCAGTTTTATGGTCTGATCTTCGTGGTGAGTCTTTAATTTTTTTATCATCGGAAAAATGAGTAGAGACCCTAGGTGTGCCAATAGATCAGGTAGGGTTGGGTCTCTGGAGGTAGGAAACGGAGTTCTTGAGGACTGGAATTTCAGGCTTTTTGTTTGTCTTTTCCATCTACTGATTTTTGAATATTTTACATAGTTCTGTCCAAAGTATGTGGTGTGTATTTCAGCTGCCGCCCTGTACTTCTAGCAAGCGCCCTCTTCTAAAGGGCATAGGGCAGTGAGAACATATGCTCAGTGAGATGTGGTCCCACTGTCCCACCTGTCGATAAACAAAAACAGGCAGTCAGAACATATGCTCAGTGAGATGTGGTCCCACTGTCACACCTGTCAATAAACAAAAACAGGCAGTCAGAACATATGCTCAGTGAGATGTGGTCCCACTGTCCCACCTGTCGATAAACAAAAACAGGTCTGTGGCCCTTACATTTGTTGTTGTTTCTTCATTTTTTAAGACAAGGTATCTGGGGTGGTGGTGATGGTGGGGGCTGGATCGATGGCTCAGGGGTTAAGATCACTGACTGCTCTTCCAGAGGACCCTGGTTCAATTCCCAGCACTCACATGACAGCTCTAAACTGTCTGTAATTCCATTTCTAAGGGGCCTGACACACATGGCAAAACTCTATTACTCATTAAAAAACAAAAAAACAAAACAAAACAAAAAAAAAAAAACGGGAACTCTCTCTGTAGACCAGGCTGGCATCGAACTCAGAGATCCACCTGCCTCTGCTGGGAGTAAAGATATGTGCCACTAGACCTAGCTTACTTAGCTAAGGTTTGAAAAAAATAATTACATTTATGCTATGTGAGTGGTAAAAGTTCTTTAAAATTTGTATTACATTTTGATCATTTGCTTGTGTGCATGAGTGTATGGGGATTGATTCACAGTACCATAGTGTGAGTGCAGAGGTCAGAGGACACATCCAGGAGTGGGTTCCCACTGCCATGTGTGTCTTGGGTGTTGAATTCAGGTTGTCAGGCTTAGTAACTTCACCTCCTGAGCCATTGTGCTAGTCCAATATCAATTTTATAATATCATAATTAAGATATCATAGCTAAAACTGGATACTATGCATGTCATGACTTGGAGCCTTCTTCACAGAAGCAATAGTGTCCGCCAGGCGGTGGTGGCTCACTCCTTTAATTCTAGCATTCAGAAGGCAGAGGCAGGTGCATCTCTGAGTTTGAGACCAGCCTGGTCTACAGAACTAGTTCCAGGACTGCTAGGGCTATACAGAGAAACCCTGTCTGTCTTGAAAAAGAAAAAAAGAAAAGAAAAAGAAACAATAGAGTCAACTTTATCATCTTTACTCTAGAAAGGGAGACATGGTACAGATAATAAAATAATGGATAGTGTAAATATAGGTCTGCTTAGAAGTGTGATACCAGCAACTGGGTGATTTCTTTGGTAACTGATTTATCTTCCTGATTGTTTCTCCAGAACCGGGAAAGTTCTCCGCAATCACAGTGATGTCCTTAGTTAACCTTGATCCTGGGGTGGGGAGGGGGCTGTAGCTGTTGCACTGGAGCTTGGTTGGCATACTAGGGCTTGGTTGTATCTCCAGCATGACAAAGACAGTCTTGGAACAGTCTTAGACATACAGCTTCCTAGTTGCTGTTCATGGGCAAATGGAATATTAACAGTACTTCTAAAAGTACTTCCTAATTTTAGCTCCCATTGCAAGTTCAAGACCATCTAAAACTACACAGGGTGGTCCTATTAAACAAACAGAATTAGGGATGGAGAGATGGCTCAGTGGTTAAGGGCACGGGCTGCTCTTCCAGAGGACCAGGGTTCATTTCCCTTCCCTCCAAAAAACGCAAGAGATGCCAGAAACAACTCCATGTGCATCTGGACTCCAGGCAAACTGGTCCATGCCCCCTTCCTCCCAAAAATCACATGGTGAATAATTGTTGATTGGGTTAATTTGATCTCTGTCTAATTTCTCTTCATGTCCTAAGAAGTGCTTATAGTCCTACTTTGCTGCAAGAGGTAGCCCATTCCCACCCCCACCCCCTCCTTGCCAATGTTAGCTGGCATGGGCACCTGCTGTTTTTAATCTAAGTATGTGAGCCAGAGAAGAAGGTGATGAGCAAAGAACTTGCATGCAGTAGCTTTGGGGGGGACCTAAAGGGTTAAATCATTAGGTGTCTTCCCATTCAGACTGCCAGGGAGGTGATAGCCTGGGGTGAGTCAGCCTGCCCTGTGGACTGTGCTGAGAGACCAGCCTTCAGAAAACCAGGGAGAAACTGCCTTTGATAACATCGGAAGACGACTGATATGCAGGGTGTTCCCTGGGCTTTATTTACTCTGAAATGTGTAGGTGTGACTAACTTTTTGAGAGCTTTAGATATGAGTCACCTGATTTTTCTTGACGAATGTTAGTGTTTACGTCTCAGGAATGTGTTTTGGAAACTTTGAATTTGTTAGAAGACGTGGCCAGTGAATTTTGTTTTAATGTCAAACCATGGGTAGTGAGTAATGCGTGCAAGAGGAGGGTCGGCCATAGGGAGAGAAACAGCTGGGAGGCTGGGTGTTCTGGGTCGGTGTTGGTGATGGAGGCCTTTCTCTGCCTGGCACCTGCTGTTCCTCTGCAACATTGATGTTTCCCGACTCTCAGGAATTTAGACAGAAAACAAGTCTGGCGGTCAAACATGTTTAGCCAATGTTTATACTTTCTTTTACCCTTTTTTCTTTTTTTGTGGTTCTGGATGGAGAGCCTTGAACATGCCATGTTCATACTCTACCACTGAGCTACGTATGTTTCCGACCTGAAGTAAAAAAAAAAACCAGTAGAATTTAACTCCCCCCCTCCCCGCCATGAGCCAAAGCCCCTCCCTCCTTTCCTTCTCCCCTATTTACTGTGTGTAAGTGCTTTGCGTGCATGTATGTATATTCGACACAGGTGTTCCTGGTGCCTTTGGAGGTCAGAAGGCATCAGATCCCCTGGAACTGGAGTCAGAGGTAGTTGTGAGCTGCGGTGAGGGTGCTGGGACCTGAACCCAGATCCTCTGCAAGAACAGCTAGTGTTCTTAACTGCTGAGCCATCTCTCCAGCGCCTCCCCTGGCATTTATCTAAACATGTGCAGCATATCCAGTGACTTCTAAAGAGAGGCTTAAAATTATGTGATGGGACACTTTTTGAAGAAGCCTGGAGAACCTTTCTTAGGCTCCCTATTTGAAAGCACACCATACCAGTCCCACAGGGACTCAGGAGGTACTTTAATGTGTGGCCTTAGGGAACCTGGAAGGTAGATGGAGGGATGACAGGGTGCTTCCTGCTTGTCCTGTGATCTCCAGCCTCCCTGAGGCGATTATTCTCCTCACCCACTAATCTCTGAGCTTTTGAAGCAGGCCAGCCTCCTGGTCTCTGCAGCCCAGCACAGGGACAGACAGACAGATGCTCTCCTTAGCTATACGGAGAAGGGCTTAAAGCTGATGTGTTGGTTAATAAGCTTTTCTTTTACACTAACTTGGGGAAGATCTTTTTTTCTGTCTCTAGGAGACCTGGGCATGGGGCGTTGAGGCAGCAGCTACTGGCAGGGGCACCCTGGGGGAGCAGCAGCCACATTCCTGTGTCTTTCTGCCCTCTGCTCCTGGCAGAGAGGTTTACAACAGGGTGTTTTTTGGTTTTTTGAGACAGGGTTTCTCTGTGGCTTTGGAGGCTGTCCTGGAACTAGCTTTTGTAAACCAGGCTGGTCTCAAACTCACAGAGATCCTCCTGCTTCTGCCTTCCGAGTGCTGGGATTAAAAGTGTGTGCCACCATCGCCTGGCTCAGCAGGGTGTTTTCTGTGCCCTCGAATTCACAGAGATCCTCCTGTCTCTGTCTCCCAAAGGACTAAAGGCATGCACCACCATGTCTGGCTAACTTTCTGTTTTTTTAATATGTTTATTATATTTGTAGTTTGGAGCCGAGTTTCGTCGGTTTTCACTGGAAAGATCCAAGCCCGGAAAATTTGAGGAGTTTTATGGACTGCTGCAACATGTTCACAAGATCCCCAACGTTGACGTGCTGGTGGGCTACGCAGACATCCATGGGGACCTGCTGCCCATAAACAATGACGACAACTACCACAAGGCGGTTTCCACCGCCAATCCGCTGCTCAGGATTTTCATACAGAAGAAGGGTGAGTGCCTTGTATGAAGAGCACACTCTCCCTCGGGCGAGCAGCTTTGCCTCTGACCTAGTGGATACACACCTTGCAGGGAGCCAAAGCATACTGATATCACCAGCTTACTTAGTGTGCCAGCCTTCTCTTAACGTATGGAAGAAAGTCTGTGGAGAGAGAGATTGAGTGTGTGTGCGTGCCTGTGTGTGTGCATGGTTCTGCACATGTGTGTACAGGTGTTCTCAGAAGCCAGATGTGTCGGATTCCCTAGAACTGGAGGTACAGGGAGATATCAACCGCTGTGTGGTGGTGGGAATCAAACCCTGACTTCTGAAAGAACAAGCCAGTGCTCTTGACCACTGAGTTATCTCTTCGGCACCCTCCTCTTAGTTTTGTTTTTGTTTTTTTTAAGTAAATTAGAAGCCCTGTGGTAATGGTGGTGTATGCCTTTGGAGTATCTCTGAGTTCCAGGCCAGCCTGAGTTCTTCAAGGACATCTAAGGCTACACAGAGAAACCCTGTCTGGGGGGTAGGAGGGTGGGGTGTCAAACTAGGCATATTAGTAAGTCTTCATTCTGTTGCTGGATTGATGGGGAACAGTGAATTTGATAGCAGAGGCTCACCCACCTCCGAGAGCTTCATTCATTGTCTCATAGACAGCGGGAACAAGTCACTCACTCCCTCTCATCTCCTTTCTTTCTTTCTTTTCTTTTTTTGGCTTTTTTTTTTTTTTTTTTTTTTTTTTTTTTTTTTTTCTTTTTTTGGCTTTTTCGAGACAGGGTTTCTTTGTGGCTTTGGAGGCTGTCCTGGAACTAACTCTTGTAGACCAGGCTGGTCTCGAACTCACAGAGTTCTGCCTCCTGAGTGCTGGGATTAAAGGCATGTGCCACCAATGCCTGACTCTCATCTCCATTCTTTATGGAGTGACTGTAATGCCTGTAGCATCCCCACACTGACGGATTGAGGGAAGAACAGCACCCAACCCTTGGTGGCACCCAGCAAAGTCTTCCATCTTAGAGTATTTTTTTATTCACAGAAGTAGCGTGAATATAAAACTAGCTGGGAAGTAAGAAGGGAAATGCTGGCTTTGGGAGCTGTAAATGTTGTCTCATAAAAAGTATCTTGAGTCGTAAAACTTTTTTAGGCTGCCCCTGCCCTGTGTATGAGACAAGGAGACAGACACAGACAGACCGCAGACGGGAAGGATGGATAGTCCTATCCTATTGGCCACTAGCTCCTTTCTCTTTGGTAAATGAAAGATTTGAAAAGCTCACTTAAGAGCTTTGAGTGTTGTGGGATAAAGACCTTACAGTTTTCAGGCCAACCCAGAAAGCAGCTTGAAAGGGAGGACGGTGAGCGTTAGATTGCTCCCAGGGCGCTGACATGGCCGCAGCCTGGTTGCTTTGCTTTTCTGGGTTTGGAGACTGAAGTCTGTCCACCCCTTCTGCTGAGAGACTCAGTCTGTTCTGAGAGAGTTAGTGTTAATGCTCCCAAGTGCCTATAGGCGGATGGCAGGCTCCACAGTGGGTAAGCTGTGGGCAGAGGCCCCTGTGTCTGCTTGCAAGAATCAGTGTGTACAGAGCCCAGGAGCAGGTGGCAGAGAGGTGAACGGGGAAACTGGCCAGCAGCAAGGGGTACAGCAGAACATAGATGTGGTTTTGAGCCCGCTAACTGGTGCATTGTCAGAATTCGACAGAGAAGTGGGATTGCAGGTCCTAGCCTTAATAAATTATCTCAGCAGGCTTTGGAATTGACCACACCATGCACTCTAGAAATGACAGTCTGGGGTTGAGAAACGTGACAGCTGTACTCAGTGGCTCATGCCTGCAATCTCAGCACAAGGGCCCAAGGCAGGCAGAGTACTGTAAGTTCGAGGCTAGCCTGGGCTCCATAACAAGACCCTGTTTGAAAAAGACAAAGCAACATAAAAGCTGTAAGAGCAGCAGGACTGGAGAGCAAGGCGGCCTCTGGAAGCCAGACCTAGGGGCCGGTGGAGTGTGACCCATGGACAGGCAGAAGAGGGAGGGCAAGACTTTTGATGGGACTCGTCATTTAAAGCTAATAACAACCCTCTCTTATTAGCAGTAATGTATGTGTACATATATACATTTTTTACGTTTATTTGTTTTGTGAGGGGAGAGGGACATGTATGCCACAGCACGCTTGTGGAAGTTAAGGACAACATGGGAATTATTTCTTACACCATGTAGGTTCTGGGCATTTACAGAAGGAGAGAGAGACAGGCTTGGCAACAGATACCCTTACCAGTTGAATTGTGCCCCCTCCCCTTGTTTGAGACAGAGTCTTACTCTGTAGCCCAGGCTAGCCTTAAGCTTACATCAGTTCTCCTGCCCCAGCTTCCCAAGGTCAGGGATTACACGTGAACCGTGGTGTTGACTGACAATAGCTTTTTAAGCTGCATACCCCACTGCGTGTTGTTAGGGTCCTCCTTTGTGAGTCTCCGTCTTGCTGCTGGTGTGGTTATTGACATTTCATTCCATTATTTCACATTTGTCCATTGGGTTTCGTCTTTGTTTTCATTTGCCTTTTGTTTTTGAGACTTTTGTATATCCCATGCTATAGCTCAAGATGTCCTCAGTCGTGGCTTGGTCCTACCCCAGCCTTCTGAGTGCTGAGTTACAGGCATGTACCATCACAGTCAGCTTTGTGGCTGTCAAGGGTTAGAAGTTTGTTTATATATGTGGGTAAAGGTTTTCTATGTGATAAAAATAGAATATCCAGAAAAATCAGTAGCTCTTAGAATTTGATGTAGGGGACCAGCAAGATGCCTCAGTGGAGAAGGTGATTGTCACCAAGCGTTATGTACCGAGTTCCATCCTTGGGACCCACAGGTTATTATTAGGTGTGTTTTGTCATGTCCTCTCCCCCCACCCTCAACAGAGTTTCTCTGTGTAGTCCTGACTATTCTGGAACTCAACCTGTAGACCAGGCAGGCTTCGAACTCACAGAGATTCACTTGCTTCTGCCTCCCAGGTGCTGAGATTAAGGACTTGTATCACCACTCCTGGCAGATTTTTAATTTTAAAACATAAGACTTTGGGTCAGAAAGATGGCTCAGCTGATAAGGGCTCTTGCCACCAAGTCTGACAGCCCGGGTTTTTCTATCCTCAGAGTACACATGGTAGAAGGAGAGAACTCATTTCTGAAGTTTGCTGTCTTACCTTCTCACACACACAAAGAAAATAAATGTGATACAAATATATGTATTCTATATGTTTGTTTGATTTTGTGTTTGCATGTGTGAATTTAAGCCAGGCATGGCTGCTGACCCTTCTAATCACAGCACTCAGGAGGTTGAAGCAGGAGATTGAGTTAGTTGATGTACCCAGGGCTGCATAGTTCCAAATCAGCCTCAAGTGTGCAGTGAGCCCGTGAGAATGCTCAGTGCGTTAGGATGCTTACCACCAAAGCTGGTGACTCAGTCTGATCCCCAGTGCCCACCATGGTGGAAAACATCAGAAACTCCTGAGAACTGTCCTCTGGCCTCCACGTGAGCTCCGTGGCATGCGCATGTGCACACACACATGTACACACACACACACATATAATGGTGAGAATTCTTAAAGCACAGTGTGTACAAATGTAGCCTATGCATACATATCCTGAATAACTACTGCTTGAAACACCCTGCCTCGGTGTCCACTGCAGCTAAGAGTCCTGGGTGAACAAGTGCAGCCTGCCCTTCCTGCATCAGCACCCGAGAGTTCACACCCAGTCTACTCCAGTGCCTCCTTCTGTCCTGTAAACTGGAGCTCCCTGTCTCATGGGACTTCCCTGACCAGTTTTCCTTGCAGATCTAGGCAAATCTTGCTTAGGCTTAAGCTGCCTGGTTTGTTCATGTGCTGTTGACCATCAGGTCCCAGCATCCAAGGCAGAGACTCAATTCTGATTCAGATTGATTTTTAAACAAAACAGACAGAGGCTCAAGCCGGCAGCGGCCCTGTGTGGAGCCAGCAGATGGCGTGGGTTAAGGCTAGTTCCATTTTACTGCAGTCTGTTTTCTGACTTATTTTTTCTTTCAAGACTAGCTAGCCTGGAGCTTTCTAACTCATTACATAGACCAAGGTGTTCTTGACTCACAGACCTGCCTACCTCTGCCTCCTGTGTGCTGGGATTAAAGTGCATCCTCAGTCTGTTTTCTTAGCTGTTGTTTCTTTCCTTTCTGTTTTGTGGTAGTCCTGGGTTTCAAAACTAAGGCCTCCGGCATGCTGCTAGGCAAGCACCTACCATGAGCCATGCCCTCATGCCCTCAGAAACTTTTCTTAAAGATGTCATTATTTATTTTGTATACAGTGTTCTGCCTGCATGGATGTCTTCAGGCCAGAAGAGGGCATCAGATTTCACTACAGATGGTTGTGAGCCACCATGTGGTTGCTGGGAACTGAACTCAGGACCTCTGGAAGAGCAATCAGTGCTCTTAACCTCCAAGCCATCTCTCCAGCCCCTCTACCCTTAGAAACTTAACCAAAGCCATTGAAAGTTTAAAAGGCAGGCAATCTTTCAGCATCTGGTATGCTACTGAGTAAAGATTCTGTGGGGTGAAAACTGCTTGAGTGTGTATACCTACAGCTGGTGCCTAGACAGTCATGTCACACAGTTGGGAAAGTTCTGTGTTGTGGCAGTTTCCGTTAGGAGAAAAATTCCACACTCTGTTTCTTGGATTATCTTCATGGAAGCCAAAACAAAAACCTGATACCTGAAAAGTTTTTTCACAGAGAGGGTTCTCAGCTCCTTCCTGGGGGCTGGAGTTTGTCCTGCTGTGTCTGGGCGAGGGTGAGACAGCCCGGAGAGCCCTTTTCTTCGATGGTTATCACATGACTGCACTAGACAGGTTAGAAATGCTGGGTCAGGGCAGTGGCATGGGGACTCTACCACCAGCACCAGTGTTTCTCTACGGGCTAGCAACATGGCTCACTGTGCAAAGGGGCTTGCCACCAAGCCTAACAACCAAGAGTCTGATTCCTGGAACCCAGGTGAAGGAAGGAGAGGGATGACTTC